TTTCGGACAATACAGACGACTTGCTGGTCAGTTTCAGGTACTGAATGTCCTTCGATCCTTATATTTTGTTACCTCCTGCTTTTTTTCCTGGCAACAAAATTACTTTAAATGTTTTGTTTTTATTTGGTCTTGTTCCTAATAAGTTATTCCTTATCAAGTTGGTTGTTTTGCTTTATCTTTTTTGGGAGTAATATTTGTAATTTTGGAAGGAAAACTATATCCCTACTAATATCTGTATCCACTCTCTCATTTTCAGTGTTGAATGTCATAGGCTATACAATTTCTTTACTCACATATCTGTATCAGTTTTTGCTGTTGGAAGTGAATAAAGAGTTTTGGCTGTTATATCTTTGTGTCAATTACTTATGCAGGGAAGTTTTACAGGACCACGTATATATTGGGCTGCTTCTAGCCTCAGAACTGAAGCTAGTGGCTATGGCGTGGTAAGGATTTTTTTAATATCTTTTGTTAGATATGAAGAACACTATGCACATATCATGACTCTATGAACTAAAAGTAATTTGCATTCTTTCAGGTGTATTTTGCACGACTTATACTTGCAGATATGAATAAGGAAATAAAAGGGCTAAGGTTTCTTTCTTGATCATATTAAATATTTACTCTTACCAATGTTATTTCTTGATCTCTTGAGTTTGTTTAATTAGCAAAGATGCTTTTGAATTCCAATTTCCCTTTCCGACACTTTTTAGTTCTTGCTATTTTTCTGTTAGGTTGTCCTTCTGAGTGTGTGGCTTCCCACATAACACAGTAGCAGTGTGACTTGTCTATGATTCCGTGACTCTCATCTTATGAAATCATATACTCTTCTGAAATTTATTTCAGATGTGTTGTGAGTGGTTGCGGGAAGATTGCGATGCATGTTGTAGAGAAGCTAATTGCTTGTGGAGCCCATCCGGTTACAGTTTCAGGTGATCCACTCATCATATCATTTCTGATTAGTGTCACATAATTTTTGCTGATGCAAACTTTTTGCAGATTCAAAAGGATATTTGGTGGACGATGACGGATTTGATTATATGAAACTTGCATTCTTGAGAGATATAAAATCCCAACAGAGAAGTCTGAGGTATTTATTGTTGTAGAATTTAGTGGTATCTGACTATCTGTCATTTGGTTTAATCATATAGATCCAACTGTACACGCGTCTGATATGCAGAGACTATTCCAAGACCTATGCAAGGGCAAAATACTTTGATGAACTAAAGCCTTGGAATGAAAGGTGTGACGTGGCATTTCCGTGTGCTTCTCAGAATGAAGTTGATCAAGCAGATGCGATTAATCTGGTCAACGCAGGCTGTCGTTTACTGGTAGAAGGTAGAGATCTCTTATATCAAGCTTATAATTTTTCAGCGCCTTGTTCTGTGTTTATGTTTCTTTTATGCTGTTTTTTTTACCTTATTATAAGCTAGTGTGGATGTGTTTCTCTGCAGGTTCAAACATGCCGTGTACAGCTGAAGCAGTCGATGTTTTCAGAAAGGCGAATGTTCTGATTGCTCCTGCCATTGCTGCTGGAGCTGGAGGAGTACGTTTCTCTGCCTTTGGCTTCAGATAAATGTGTAGGAGTGTGGTTTTGCTGAGATCTCTGGAGCTATATCTGTTTCTTTTCGTTTGTATATGCAGAATATGATCCTAAAGCGCGTAAAAGTTTTCTTAGACTTTATAAATGGTGGTAGCTTAATTCTATAGTTTTGTTGAAGGTTGCTGCTGGTGAAATCGAAGTACTCCGTGAATCTAATTCAATGCAATGGTCAGCAGAAGATTTTGAGTCTAGATTACAGGTAACAACATCTCTCACATTTCTTTAAAATTTTTGCAGCTTTGGCCTGTGATAGCTGCCTGTTAAGATAATTATTCTCTTACTGACAGGAAGCACTGAAGCAGACTTATGAAAAAGCTCTTAAAGCAGCAACTGATTTCGGTTATCAGAAAGAGAGTCCCGAGTAAGTTTTTCTCGTCATCATAAGCTGCTCTGTAGCTTTCGCGTTGTGATCCAAACGATTGGAATGCTTTTATTAAGATATGGTTTGTGTTTTCATCTTGGCTTTTGATGACAGGGCACTTCTACATGGAGCAACAATAGCAGCATTTTTGAACATAGCTCAAGCGATGACGGACCAAGGTTGTGTCTAGCTAAAAACTGGTCCCGCGCATACTGAGTCCCGGCAGGAGTTCTGTCTTAAAACCTAATGAAGAAGACACATTGGACTCTCTGTAACATATTTTAGATGCAATGTATGTCATTATTTAGAAATTACATACTCTGATATGAATGATATTTTATCACTCATAATATGTTTACTAAAGTTATTTGACTTGCAAAAGATGGGAAGATACTGATGACGCAGAGATTCAACAGATCGTTTCCAAATAAGTTNTTAACTATTTGTCTTTCTTGCAAGAGAGATTTGCTTTGAGTGTTTCT